ATTTATGAAGCAATCTGTCCTGACTGCATCTTAAAGAAAAATCATTCTTGTGGTCTAAGTGCTCCTTCTTCCAAACTATACTTGCACAGTGCATTTTAAATACTGAAGTGGCAACTGCGACCCTCGTGGGCTGCTGGAAGAATCTATCAGGTACAAGGCTGCATGACTGCTCTGAGGCGTAGTGTTTACTTGTATATAATTTCTTTATGGGATCACTGATGAAATCCACACTACGACCACTGTGACTGTTTCAGAAACTGAGCACATTTCTGAAGGACATGTCACTTGAAAGCCAGTAGGGCATGAATTTTAACGAGTATATTGGGTTACCCACTTGAGATATTCCCAGCAATGGGACAACCTAACATTTGGAATAGCAAGCAAGAGCTAAAAATACAAAGTAAGAGTCACCATTCAAGATCAAAATTTGGAAAAAGCACATGATTTCTCTCCTGTAATAGCATAAGTATTCAAGAAGAGTGTACTTGGGTTAAACTACTTCTTCAGATGGGGCTCCAAGACAGTACTCCCCTATATCAAATATCATTTTGTCAGGGGTAAGTGGTCAAAGTTCTCTCTTTCCCAATCAGACTGAGAACATATGGAAAGACCATATTTAAAGAAATAGGAGCAAGAGGAAAAAAATTTAAAAGAGGACTGTCTTTTGATGCAATTGAATGTGATGCTGTGGTTCAAGAGGGGCTCAGTATTTCAGACCAGTTTGCAAATACACAGTAGGTCTGGAAAAACTCCAGGTGCAACTATACGGAGAAGATTTCGCAACACTGCTTGAAATGAAACTACATTAAGCCCATTGAAAGTGTCTCAAAATCTGTCAAAAGCCAAAAATGCTTGTGATGAAGCAAGGGACTAAGGATGCTGAGCATATGGCCTGCAGGAAGGGCAAACTCTGCCAACTGATATATCACCATGAACACAGCTAAAGAGGGGATGTCATCAAGAACTGCACAAGAAAGGAGAACTAATTTAATGTGATGGCATTTTGAAGTCATTATCCAGTCTAATGCAAAAAACTTCACAGCCAGGTGTAGCATTCACTTGCTGTGTTGTGAAATAAACTCTGAATAATCATAGCTGAGTAAGCAACTGAAGAGAAAACTGCAAAGTTTATCTTGGCTCAAAAAAACGCCTCAAGTGTAACTGTGATTCAATCATCTTGAATTGATAAGAACCAGCAGTAAAGCTTCTAAGCTGACCTCTTCCTGCAGTGGAATCAATCGAATATAAAGGATGGAAGTCTGACGTATTTCCAAACATGTGGGTAAGCAGTTTCTTACTATAGCCCATTTTTGGCAGTTTAAAATACACCATTTTCCCTGCCCCTAAGTTTCAGACACACAGTTCCCAATGAAGCTATCTGAAAAGCAGGACCCCAGGTAGTCAAACAGCAGCTCCCAGGTCCCAGCCTGCAAGCTTCTACCAAGCTCACTGCTATTCTACAACCGTCAGATCCCACAGCTCTGCTCCTCCCACAGCCAGCTAGCATTAAAATAAGTCTGTGTTACAATGAAAGCTTGAAATACTAATTTTCTATGGCAGCAAATGGAAGAGGTAGGTGGAAGCCACCTGTCAAAATTTTTAATGAATCCCACCCTAAAGAAAACTTTATACAACATCACGTTTTACATGTTGTGCCAAGATTTAACATTTCTGGTAATTTCTGCAGAATTGCATGTTCTCAGCCATACTGAGGCTACAAAACTTAAACTTACTCATGTGGTTGCTTCTTTTATATCATCCTTTCAAATCTAAGTTGAATTTAAGCATCATTCTGGAAGTGCTAAGAGCAGAATGTTTCATCTCTTCTTTGCAGAGTTAAAAAACAAATCTGCTTAATTCTATTATTGGTCATTTTTAAAGGATACACAGTAGATGGGACAGATCCCTCCCAACACCTGGCAGAATAGAAAAAAATTGACCCACTTTCTACTTTTTCCCTATTTTCAAAAGGTGAGGAAAAATTTGAGGTTAACAGTTTCTCCCTCTACTCCCGCCATGAGAAATACTTGTAAGTGGATGCAGTGTTACAAGGGAAGCACCTTGTTACCCCATTCCTAGACAATTTCTCATGGCTGTTGATCTTGATCACAATATTATCAATTATAACTTTTCCCTGTATTCCCACCTTCACCTTCTGCTAGGGCTTTTCTGAATTGTTTTTACAAAACTTCACAACAGAAGATTAGGGAGACAAGGGCACAGAAAAGCAATAAATTTCTCCAGTTTGCACACAGCTTCTCTTCCAGTCTTGCCTCGAGAATATATGCTGCATCGGTAACAAATACTGCCAGAAGAACATGGTACCCACCCATTCAGGCTCACATTTTATGCTACACTTCAAGTTTCAGTGAACCAACTTTTTTGTGATTACTGCTGTAAGATTTACAGTGTTTTCCCCCAGACTTTCCTACAACATACTGCCTCAGTACTTTTGTTTCACTTCGCTTCTGTGCGTAGTGGACTACAAAGCTAACAGAAGATAGAAAACCCCAGCACAACACAGGTGTAATGGTCATTAAACATCCCCATTTCTGTATTTAAAGAAATTTGTCGAAGTTTGTTTCTGTGAAGGTGAATATCCTAATTTCAACCTGTAATTTACTGAAATACCCTTTACACTGGGTACTGCTTCAGCTGCCTTGAGAAATAACATCAGTTTGCCAGTACTATATCATCACTACTAGGAGTTACTCAAGAAGGTTACTACCACAGGTGGTACAAAGGCTATCAGCAATTTTACTGAAGTACTCCTCTGCTTCAATACAACTGAAGTGTAAACAAATAAGTGCCACAATTGGAGACTATATGTGCTGTGAAATTACTGGCTCACAGATGTTTTCTTCAGTAGTGCAGAACTGATGTTAACAGCTTCTTAGCAAACTTTCAACCAAACCACAAATTTCTGCTTGCCAAGCATGTCAACAACAAGAGACCATCTAACTCCTCATTATTTTACTTTCACATTGCGAAATCAAAGCAATAGTAGGGCAGAGCACTATGGTTTTGCCAATAAGGTCTCTCTACACTCAGATTTCTCATCAAGCCATGGACAGTCACCATGATATAAAGTTCTATTTACAAAAATTCAGGTGGAGGTTGGGCTCTTCTTGTGGGCAACAAGTGAAAAGACCAGAGGACATTGTCTTAAGCTGCACCAGGGAAAGTTTAGGCTGGATGCTAGAAAGCATTTCTTCACAGAAAGGGTGATTAGATATTGAAATGGACTGTGCAGAGAGGAAGTGAAGTCACTGTCCCTGGAGGGGTTTAAGGAAAGACTGGATGTGTCATTTAGTGCCATGGTCTAGTTAACATGGCAGAATTGGGTCATATGTTGGGCTTGATTTCAGAGGTCTCTTTCAATCTTGCTGATTCTTTGATTAGCTTTAGTTTTTCAGGATTTTAGACATTCATTAAAAAACAAACCAGGACTTTTCAGAAATGTCCAAAGACAAACATCACATGTTATCACGCAAAATCCTGAGGAGGTCTGGTCATCTGACATGGACCCCTTCACATGTCACAAAAGCAGTGTAGCAAAAAGCAGCACACCGCTCCAAGACACTTCTCAAAAGTTAAAAATATTGTCATTTGTACCATCATTAGCCCTACATCTGAAAGCAACTCTAGGTTTTTTTAGTGTTTCCTAAGCAAACTGACCCAAGTTGGATGAACTGAGTTTGAAATATACTGGGCAGAAATGCAATAAGAAGACATCAAGAAAATCACAGGAGAAGTATGTGCAAGACATGGAGTCTCCAGAGGAAAGCTGCTGACTGGAGGATGTTCAGCAGGACAGACAGAAATTCCCTGTAACAGAAGCCAGGTTTACCTGGTCAGAACCTGGAAGAGATGTGGTGACAGTCTAGAAAAGTCACAGCACACCCCCAAGCCTCAACAGCCCATGTCCCTCAGGCAGGAGAATGACCAGCTGGTTCACTCTCTTAGGACAGGGACAAAGACACTGGCAGCTCTTCTAGTAAGTGACACAGACAAGTAGGAAGTTCCTCTTTTCCACCCACAGATCTGGAGTTTGAGGGGCTTTTCACATGCCTGCCACACAAATATTTATGCACCAAGGTAGTGGCAAAATCAAGGAGGAAATTCTCTTAATACAGTGCCCTCATGGTGATGAGATCAATAATGCTGAACAGTATGTGTACACATCCTCTGTAATAATGCCATCTTATTATGTCATAGTATAGACTCAGAGGAAAATTATACTGCTCTCTCTGGAAATCTTGTTTCCTTCACTGCAGAAGCTGAAAAAGGTAGAGTAGACAAGGGTGCTTGGAAGTCAGACAACAATCTATGAACTATTCTTCCATGCCTCCAATTTGAGAACCACAGAATATTCACAGCTTTACAAACTAAATTAACCAAGATGTGCTTGGACATAAGTGATATATAAGTGTTACATATTTTGACACATCAGTTATTCTACCTTGAAAAACAACACTCTTCAGGCAGAAGGTACCTTTGCCCTACATGTCCTGATTCTATATCTGCAAAAACAAGTGCCCCTTCCCACCTTTCATTTTAAAAGAGCTAAGAGGAAGGAAGAAGAGAAGGCAACTAAGTATGTGAAGAATCCGGCATAAGGAATTTAACAACACCATTTTCAAAGCCAAGTATTAATTCTGTGCTACAAAGGAAAAAGAGACAGACTTCTAAAGAATGAAAATCATACATGAATAAATATTAGCCCAGTATGAAAGCACTTTTTCCAAGCACACTGGAAGTGTAATCCTTTTTTAGGGAAAAAGCCCCAATATATATATCATTATGCATAACTGCATGAAGACAAAGTAAAGATCATTGGGTTCTCAAAATAGCATGAGAAGTATTTTCAAACAGTTTACATGCAAAACCCTGTACAATCGTGTCAGAATATATGTATGTTCACCAGTTTATAACAGTGAATGTTTTCATACTGATTCCCAAGGAATAATGCAGTCAAAACAACACTTAACATTCCATACCTTGATTATTTCCACCAACTGATCCACACCACTGTCACCTGGAAAGATCGGTTGTCCTAGTAACAGTTCAGCCAATACACAGCCTGCTGACCACACATCTAAAAAGGGAAAGGTGGAGGACAGGGAAAGGTATCAGTAAAACATACATATTGAGCCATTCATAAAAAAAAAAAACACAGCCATTTTAAGCTGCTTACTTTACCCTTTGCCATGTTTGACAGTGTATGCAACACAGCTAAAAACGAAAACCATTCCTATCCTAATGTTACCAGGTACCTGGTATAAAACAAGTGTGCAGACAACCTTAGAAGTCAAACTGTGAGATAATGCAAACTGGAAAATCATGTTAAATGCCATAATATATTGACATTAAAACTTACATATGCAGGGAAAAGACCATAAAATGCTTGCCATTTGTAAATTGAGAATTTCCCCCATCCCTGTGTTGGTTTAAATCACACTGATAATGAACTATGCATAGGTATTATCCAACACAATGGCTGATGTTTTTACTGTTTCCGAGTGTTGAACAGACTCAGTTTTTCATACATATATTGAAAGCACACGCAATAACAGATGAACCAGTACTGCCAGTATTACTGGTATCCTGAAGTACATCATGATTAAGGGATCTGGGAGGCAGCCTCTCTAACCAGTCACTTCAAGATCTAATCTTTATCCCAATTCCATTTGCCAGCTTGGATGAGTAGCAGAATTGCAAGTCACAGATCACATGTCAACAGCATCTGTAGAAGAAGCCTTTAACTAATTTTTGCATGTATACCAAAAACCTCAAATAGTCCTTAGGAGCTATTCCTTCTACATAAATAAAATTTTCACAATCTATTGCAGGTATATCTTCTTAAATAATTAGGCAATTCTATATTACAGAAGGAACTTAGGAATGTATGTATGCGTACTACAGAATATAGCATTTTGGTTTTGGAATGTAATTAACTAGAAAGAAAAATCTAACAAAGCGAATGCAATAAACACTGTATATCAGTGTTTGTGAGAATCTAATGTAATTGCACAGCAAATAAATGGCATTTTAAGCTGCTCAACACAGTAGAAGTATTGTACTTGGATGCAGAAAACTGCCTCTCCACAAAAATAGATTCACTGTAATGTTTTCTAGAAAGTCATCAATTGTTGATTGAATACCTGAAACCTTACACTAAAATCCAATCTCAAACAAGCTATCAGCAACAAAAGATCTATAAAGCCTATAATATAAAGAAACACTCCAAAAGGGAAAACCAGTCCCCTTCCACCCACATTTCTTTAAACTCTCACCCACTTTTATAAGCTAGCCTTGTCCCCCATCAGAATTTATCTCCTGAGGCCTGTTCTACCTGAGATAATCTATGCTATGACAGAAGTCCTTAGCCTCTCATCTATTTAAACTATGTCCCATCCCTGGAAGTGTTTGAGGCCAGCCTGGATGGCGTTCTGAGCAACCTAGTCTGGTGGAAGGTGTCCCTGCCCATGGCAAGGGGTTGGAACAAGGTGATCTTTAAGGTCTGTTCCAACCTAAGCCATTCTATGACTCCATGATACTGTAAATATATAGGATATAATATAGTAATATAATATATTATATTAGATAATTATTATATTATTTTAATTATTATTTATTTTTAATTATTATTAGATTAGGTTATTATATATTCTTAGATAATAATATATAGGATATAATATAGGCTATAATAGGATATACACAACCCTGCCAGTTATGGCTAAAGGTCCGAGTAAGGAAAACATCCCTGACAATTCTCCAAGCCATCTATTATCAATTTGTCACAACCACTACAGAGTGGTGCAAATTAAAATCAAATAAAGCTTTCAGGAGTTTAAGATTTATATCAAAATAATCAACAAGTTAAAACACAGTTTGCCTTCCCCCATTTCTAAAGGAAAGAGTGAGAAAAATACTTTCCTTCCTCAAGAATATGGTTCAATTGGAACGTACAGTAGACTAACACCACTGTCATTACTCCAGCTTTTGAAATTATTTACTTCCAAATCAAATGGATGCACTTTTACCTAATGTCTTGGTACAAACATTGCATCGGGGTTTAACCTAAAAAGTTACTACTTACAACAGGTAAACAGTACCAGAAATAGTTTGAAGTTTGAGTCTTGAATTTTAACAAGCAAACATACAAGATGATGCTTTTTAATCTTACAGTCACATTTAACAAAAGCTGATATGGCCACTGAGATGCTAAGATCTCTTTTGGACAACAAGCTAAGAAGGAATAGTGTAAAGAATGTTTAATTGCATCTCACTGCTAATCAATGTCTCTCCTGCTGTTGGACCAACACATCCAGCAAAACCATGATGCAAAGCACCACCTTTTGTGTCGCCCATGACTATTAGGTTTAGAGGAATTGCATAACAGTTCAACAGACAGCACAGATTTCTTCAGAAGTATTGAACAGATAGATTAAATGTACTAAGCAGTCAGAGCACTGAAACTTAGAAGTCTATTTAAAGATACATTTAAAGGGTTTTAAATAAGCCAAGTCTTTTAGACTGTCCTTTACAAAACAAGTAGCTACACCAAATCTTTAATAATTATTTACAACTTAAATCCTTATTTTGTACTGAAAATGTTATATACGGCAAGGAAAAATATTTGACAGAATATATACAAACACAAAGCTGACAGGAGAGTAAGTCATCAATCACAATTCACTTCCTTTAAGATTTTGAAACTATGCTAGCATTACTTTTTTCAGATTAGAATGGTTTTCTTAAACTATTTTAAATAACCTTCTTGTCTAGCTGCTCCATTAAGTTGGCTTTGAGCTGGTTTTGCTTTTCCTAGCTTCCCTAAATGCTTTTGCACTCCACCAGCACATTTCAGACAAGTCTGTAGGGCACAAGTCTCAAATCAAATTTCATAAAATGGTGGGAAATCATCAGTGCTGCTGCCAAGGTGAGGAAGGTTCAGTCCCCAGGGGAAGTGCTAGGCTTGCCCCAGCCCTGCCAAATTGCAACTGCAAACCATTCAAACAATGTGCAGGTCCTTGTTCAAGAAGGCCAAGCATGAACAGCAGAGGGCACATGAGAAAGTTGAGGGCATCACATGGGAACAGAGGAAAAAAGCAAAGGATGTAGGTCATGAGGAAATAGGTGGCAATGGCTGAGGAATACTTGCTGCATTCATGCTGGGTTTAATCCCTCAAAAAGACAACAAAATCCATCAGAAACCTGTTGCTCCTTATGCACAGGAAATCTTCCAAACTAGGCAATTTTAAGTCTTGTTAAAAGCCTTTACCTGCTAACACTTTAAATACACAGTGAAGTAAAACACAGGCATTTCAAAATCCCCATCTTTTTTCCAGGCACATAATTTCACCTACTTCCAAATTAGGACTTGGGCAATGTTCCCTGGACAAGGAAGTGAACAAATCCTTGAAGCATTCTCAACAAAATCCAGAGAGTGGAGGCTAACTTGAGCAGCTCCAAGGAGTGACAGAAACAAAACAAAACATACAGAGGTATTTATACAACTCTTGATAAGCGATGCACAATAAGCTACGAAATTTCATCTCTGCTGAAACTTGATGAAACTTATGCCATTGACTGAAATTTGGTTCTGGGATAGTTTGCTCTTTTTTTCCCCACACCCTTTATATCTTGCATTTAAAAATTTATCTACCACATCAGGATGGTAAAATTCTTCCTCAAGCCTGAAGTAAACAGGCATGAATTTCTGTATTTAAAGATGTATTACTTAAAGGAAGTGATCAGCTTATGGCAGTTCCTTCCCAGAGACTCTTCTGTCTTAGTACAGTCAGAGCTAACTGCTACAGATTAATATGTGGTGTAACTACCTGCTCCCACAGGAGAAGAAGCATTTTCTGAACTATTTCTTTTCAGTATGTGCAAGTTAATTAAAGCAAACTGGGACTCTCATTCCCATGCTTTAAATTAGCTAATAAACAAGCTAAGAGAGAATCTTAAAGGAAAATACGTCAACAAATGGTCCTTATGCCAAACTAGTTGGGACAATGTGAAATTTTAGGAGAAAATACTGAAAACTATTCATTTTAAGAAAGCAGGCAAGGGTACTTTCTTCATACCTTCAGTGAAATGTAGTCTAAACAATACAGAGAATAAATACAACTGCCAGGCAATAGCAACCTTCAAATAAGGTTATTTCAGATAGTTTTCACACATTACAATGGTAGCTAATGCCATATCTTTCCTAGATTAACCAACACTTAGATAAATACCACCTAACCTACCTCCATTAATTTAAACACACAAAAATTCATATAGCTTCTTGTACTACAAAACTTTTCTTAAATTAAGTCTCTACTACTTTATTGATCTTTAGAGCTGTTAGATGGATATTGTCTAATAATATAGTCTTCATAATGCCCTTGCTTTTGAATGCATTCTAGCATTACAGAAGGCAAGAAAACAAGTATTTATCTTTAAATCAGGCAGAGGCATTTGGGAGGACCAGTGCAAAATACATTCCTTAGCTTTAATTCTGTAAGCTTACAACAGCCATTTTGAGTTGGAAATTAACACCCTGTCCATAAATTTCACTTTTTCTGATCTCAAACTCTGCCTTTCCAAGTTGAAAAACTGGCTGTCTTCTTCCCAGCACAAGCACCATTCACTGAACTACACTCTAGCTCTTCTAAGTCATTATTTGGAGGACAAGGAGGAGGAAGGGAAGGGGGGGGAAAAAACGGTTTCTCTCATCCACTTAGTACAAATTAAGAATTTCCATTTATCTGACGCTTTATGGGGCGTATTTACCTTCCTACTTTTTTATTACAGTCATCTACTCATCTCTGCCTCACTATTCCTTCATCTTGATTGACTTCCTCCATCTTGGAGGTGACTCAAAGCTGCTGCTCTGGAAACTGTGGAAACAAACCAAGAGTCAGAAAAGCAGCCCTGGGAAGTCATAAAATCAACAGCTTCTAGCTGCCGAATGCCAGACCCAAAGTGCTTTTCACTGCTGCTTGTTTGAAACAATATTTGGGATGCCAGAACAAGAGCAAAATTCAGGATTACAAGCAGGTGTGCTGTTGGTAGAAGTTTTGCACATCAAACCACCACAGATCCATGGAAGGAGGAGAAAGAGTAAGGCTGAAACATGAAAATGCTTGAAAAGACATGCTTGTTCCAGTATTTGGAACAAAAGCTAAACGCAGGTATCTCTATTCTTTTGCAATTAAGAGATGAAACTACAATGACAGGTGGTAGAGTCGTTCAGTAAATTAACACACCTGCTTACTTTCAGCACTGGAAGTTGCAATTTGAGAAAGAAGCAAATCCTTCTGACTGTTTGGCAACTGTTCATGGACACACCTTGTGGTGGTTCTTCCCCAAGGAACTCTGAGACAGGCCAACTACATACACCTGCAGAAAAGCTTCTGCTCCAGCCTGTTGAGGTGAAACATTTGCGCTTGCTAGGAAAGTGAATGAACAACTTCATGATACTTATTTTCAGACACCCCAAGAGAAGCCAGCAATGGTCACGCAGATCAATCTTTCCCTGCCAGAGGCTATAAATGTTCCCTCTGGAATGCTCCCAACTCCTGCCGGCGCGGTGGTGGAACAAAAGCACTGAGCCCAGCAGCCCCTCGTTGTGCAGAAACACCACCAGGATCTGGTGAGCCCTCCCCTGCCCTGCACCTCACCTAGGGAAGAAACACATGAGGTTGAGGCAAAGCTCAGCTGCACAGCTTCTTTCCATACAAAAGGAACTCGAGGCAACAAATATCTGCACTCACCCCTACTGCAGTGCCTGTCCCAGGACAATGTAGGGGAACGTGGGCAGCCATCCCAGGGTTTTTCAGCAGCAGCATCACCCACATGACCAGCACAGCCAGAGCCATGCCATCAACATATCTGGGATGCTATAACACACAGAGACTGGCAAGGAGAAGCCTCAGCCAAAACGCTGTCATGACATAGCTGAAGGGCTTGGTTTGGGAAATAACCAACAAACCAGCCCCCACTTTGCTACCCCCCCCCTCAAAAAAAAACCAACAACCAAACAACCAACAACAATAACAAACTCCTGCAAATCAGCTGCAGGAGGTAAACTGTCCATTCCCAGCAAGCTTTAGGGACACAAACACACACACTTGCAGAATTCATAGCCAAAGGAGCACAAAGACCCAATCTGTACAAGCTATGAAGGCACCCAATTGACATGAATATTTGTGCCTGACCATTGAAAATCCTGTACAGTTCTAAGGCAGGCACATAACAGATCTATTATAGGTAGGTATTTGTAGCTATTTGGCAACAGTGACTATTTAAGAACTCTAATAGGTAATTTCCCAGGTCATTATTTTAAAAATAGAGTCCCAGGTCTGCTGGAGGCACTAACTGCAGTAAATGTGATTTGATGCTACTCTTACTACGGTATGTATTTAAATGCAGAACTGATGGGGTGCTTTACAGAAGTGTAACAAACATCACATCCCTGGCTCAGTTACTTTTTAAAGGGACCTCTTCAGTTAGAAGTGAAGTCATGCACTTCAATGAAACAATCAAGATCCTAGAAGTTAAATACCATTTTACAGTTTGTTGTGACATCCAGGATAAAGAGATACATCCTGGAACCAACTGGTACGCTGAAGAGCAAGAAATGTCATGAGGACAAACTCATGTGTTTAAAGACAACCTGGATGAAGCCAGACAGCCTAATGCAACTCTTGGTCACAATGCTAAACAAGATGACTAACACCTGACATGGTCATAATGCAGCTGGCTGTGCTGTCAAGTATTGGGCCACCAGTGTCACTGCCTAGTCTTAAAAAGGAGTTCTTGCTCAGAAATATTTCCAGTCATTATCCTATTGTAGTGCATTATAATCATAAGCCCTGTAGTAACATTAACAAACAACAAAAACCTTCACACAAACAGCTGGAAGCCTTGCAGATAATGTAGGAAAATTTCTACTTAGAACACTTTTTGGCTTTGTATTCTTCACTGATTTTACTTTTACCATAGTTTTATTAGAGAATATTTAACTGGAGGAATAAAGATCCCTGCCTTACATATAAAGCTCACTTTTTGTCACCACACACACACAAGTGATTCTTACAGAGTGATAAAGACTACAGTGGGAAAAAGTTGTTACGCTAACTCACAAGAAAAACAAGAACTAAAAAAACCAAGCATGCCAAAGTATAAGTTTAAAAGGCAGTATTACAATACTGAAGCATTTCACAGTCCCCTATACTCTGACCTATGGATAAAGCACTAATAATTACATGTTCTTTTCCTTCTTTCAATAAATCCCCCTATGCTTGTTGATTGGTTTTCCAACAAGCTGGATGAGTTTGGATGAACAATCCCACATGAAATATGGAAGGGTTCTCACTATGCACCATTGTTACCTACCAGCAAAAACTAAGGAATATGTACAAACAGCAGCACCACAAAATGAACCCTTAGAAATTCTAGCATATGGCAGAACACTGGGAAACTGTAGAGCTTGTAAAAGCATTTTATTCCTGCTCATCTCCCGAATCCAAAGACTGCTAAGAAAGAAGGGGAAGGTGGATAGGACAGGAAAGAATGAAGGAATATGAACTTAATTTTCAAGTAATTCAGTGCAAATTTCAAAGAAAGGACTTGGAGGGACAGGTGGGGTTTTTCTGGCACAAGAAAGTTAGAACAGTGACTGGAATTCAAGGTATTTTTGGAGGCAAGTGAAAAATTGCACTTCAGCATGGAATTTTTATTAGAACCATTTTAGAGACCAACAGATAAAACAACAAAAATGGAAAGGACAATTTGAAAAAGGGTCTACAGTTGGAGAAAAAGACACTTCATAGACTTATCTGCAAATCAGTCTCTCCTACTGACACATAAAATACACGTTTTATGCAGCTATCCTCTGAAACAAGAGGTCTCCGTGCACTCTGATAATGCAGCTGAGCCAATCTATTAGCTCTCAGCTGGCAAAAAGATGTCAAATGGGCTCAGCTACCTTCTCCTCATTTATAAACTCACAACACTTTGCTTTTACCTGGGCTTTGCTGCTTACTGGACTGCACAATACTGCTGATTGCACTCACTCACACAGCAGGAAGTCAACCTGCCAAAATCTCTTGCCAGTTGACGCTGAATCAGCAAATTAAACAGTAAACTGTGAGAGCCAGGGTATGCAGGGGCAAGAGCAGGGGTGGGGCTGCCACTTCTGGCAGCAGCCAACACTAAGTTCTGCCTTGTATCTTTACTGTGCCATACTTCCCCCAGACTACTCTTGGTTATGCCTATTTTTCCTACCAGGAAGATACGCAAGAGTTGCTACAATACACACTCAATAGTAACTAATGGGAAAAAATTTGTGAGAGCAGGGAAGTCTTCAGGAACACACTGAGGTGGGGTTTCTTGTTCCTTTTTAAGAACTGCAGAGTTAAAACCAGTCAGCCAGCCACTGAGTTTAGATATAGTTCAAACATAGTTCAAACATAGTGAGTTTAGATATACTGGTTATAAACATAGTCTGCCAAGAGTTGATCATGATCTCAAAATCCTTTTGAATCCTTTAAACCTTGCCTAAATGACTCAAGTCCATAAGCAAGGTAAAAGGTTCCCCAGCATTGTGCTGAGAGCCAAATCTGCTCTCTTTTGCACTAGAACTCAGAAGGAGCCCAAGCAGTATCTTGACTGAAAAACTGAAGTAGTTACCAACAACCAGCCAACACACTGTTGTTCATTTCCAAGATTTTTCATTTTGCTGTTCATTTTTGGTTCTCTACTGTAAGAAAACTTGGCTGTTCCCTGATCTCTATCAAACCTCCAGCTTCCCTAGTATTTCCATGACACAGCTATGTGTCAGGTATATAGAAAGAGCTCTTTGTGTTCAAAATTAATGACTGAAGGACAGTAAAAGCTAGCAGAATTAACTGAATTAGAAGGACTGCTGCACACAATATATTAAAGTTGTAAAGAGAATTAAAAGTCAATCATTAGGCCACACTTACCTCCCCCTATAAACCCTTTATTAAAAGCCAAGTAAATAAATTTACATCACATATTTATGTCTAAACCACAGCACATCAGAAGCAGTAGATTGTTTTCTGCAGACATTCTTTACGGTTATTTCAGGTTACTAAAAATGCTTTTTTGGCTTGAGGTCTCATACCTACTTTTAAACTAAATGGTAACATTACACGATTTATTTTTTTCACTTGTAATCAGATTTTCCCCCTCTACATTGAAAAAACCCCTTTCCTGGTGTAATTAGTGCTGAAATCTCAAAAGGTGTAGAAAGCACAGCAGCCATCTACAAAACATTTGTATTTCTTTAAAGAGTGGTACCTAATAATTTACAACCAAATTCAGCCCCTGGGGTTTATATTTGAGATCTCTGGAAACCTTTACACTTCAGTACAGCATAAAAACTGAGGCAGCTGGTACAGATTTCAACCAAATGCACACACACTTACCTATACTGGAGGTATAATCAGTGGCTCCAAAGATCAACTCTGGCGCCCTGTAGTACCGAGAGCAGATGTACGACACATTGGGCTCTCCACGAACCAGCTGTTTTGCACTGGAAAGGAAGCAACAGTATTTCAGTAATGAGCCCTTCTACAATATTGCTGTGCACACCAACACTAAGCTTTGGCACTCTTCACCTACTACTCCCCATTCCCAAATGTTGAAGTACAGTGCTCTTCTAGGCTGATGCAAACTGACTCCTTGATTCACTGTGAAATCAGTTTGATCCATCAAGCATTACCTTCTACTGGGGACAGCAAAGGAAATTCTGAGTACAATCTAGGTGAAAAACAGGGTCAAATTTTTGGCTGCCAGCTGTCTTTGGACAGATACAAAGGCTTGCTTACAGTGGAAAAGAAGACAGAAAACAGTTTGGTCAAATGTAGTCATCCTTTAAGGTTTAAAAGCTCTGGATACTCACAAGCACTGAGTGGGGTATTTTTGTCTGTTTGGGGTTTTTGTTTGTTGGTTTGGTTTTTTGTTTGTTTGGTTTTTAATTTCCATTACAATATTCTGCTCCTTTGCTACTTAAGGGAGCATGGTATGAGGTGACCAAAAAAAATAAGCTTTTGCCATTGCATTCACATGTTAACGGTCCACAATTAACATGAAGGTTTCTCTTATACTGTAATTAATCAGCCACAAAGGATCTAACCTACAGTACTGCCTCAAAACTTCTCTTTGAAAGAATCCAAGAAAAGAATGGACCACAAGACCACGTTACTTTGGGAACATGAGTCTATGGATATACTACACTTCTTTCTTAATTAAGAAGGGCTAGGCAAAAAGGAGCTGGAGGACAAAATTTCCCTTCTGGAAATATGACATTCACCTAAATAGCATCAAACACTGCAGAGTGGCAAGCCAGCCACATCCAGTGTTCAGCTCTCCAGACACTCCTCTGGAAGAACTTCCACCACCCATTTAAAAAAGTCTCAGTTTTCTGTATAGAAACTACAGTTAACAAATTCCCACTGACAAAAATAGTAGGTATTCCCTTTATGCATTGTCCATTTTGAGTTTCAGCATGATTCCTACTTTGCTCCAATGCTGGTGAGGTAGAGCTGAGGAGGAGATCCAGAGGCACCAGCCACAACAATGCACTGCTGGAGTAACCCTCATCTGATATTCCCACTCACCATGGGTGAGCAAATTTAGCAACAGCAGTTTCTGTGACCTCTCACACATATACCCCAACTATTTTAGTCTGCAAAGTTACAGCACAATATAAAGACTGAACTTGCTCAGAGAGAAATCTATGTCCTGTCTCACTGCTAATTGCCAGAATTTCTGTGTCAGTTCTAAGGTGGGGGCTGGACTCTAAAGGTGATTCTGAGTGGATATTGGAAATAAATGTGCCTTTGGAAACTAGAACATAGATGTCCACTATCCAAGAGCTTCAACTGGAAGTGCTGCTTCGGATTTTGAGCCTCTGTGGTATTTGCAGCATTAAGTGAATTGTTGTAAATGCAAGTATACTGACTAGTGTAACATCAGCCTTTTTAAGTTACAGTGCCACCACACCTGTCCTCTCTTGCCCAACACACTTCACTGCAGTAATTGGTTCTGGTTTTCCATGCTGCAGTATTTTCCCTATGTCATGGTGTATCTATTTTATTTTTCTAATACCTGCAAAAATAAGAGGCATGAAGTTTAATTCCCTCCCTCTTAACATCCTTTTCCAGCTCTTCCCTGCCGCTCCTTTGAACTCACTTTGAGGGGAAAACAAAATATCAGTAATTCCTCTTTTAAGCTATACATAAAGACTTTCTAAGGGACACAGAGAATTTCTTGGCAAAGTTGCATTAAGGTTCACTTTGAAGGAAGATCTTTTCACCAGGTTTCAGGCCACAAATGTGCTTACCTTCCAAAGTCACAGAGTTTTAGAACAGCTGTATCAGGGTCCAGCAAGAGGTTCTGTGGTTTTATATCCCGGTGGCAGATCCCAAAGGAATGGATATAGGCTAAACTCCGGAACAGCTGATACATGTACAACTGGAACACAGAAATACCAGTCAAATCAGGGTAAACAATTAGTTTAGCACAAGCCCTTATTAGAAGAAAAACAGAATCACTGAGAAAAAGACCATACTGAATGCCTATTAGGGCTATGAAGGTGGGCAAGGTATCTGCATACCTTCCCCACACACCCTTTGCTGCATACACACACACATGTGGTTCAAATCTTTTTATGTATCCTTTGAGATAGTATAATTAGCATAACTCCAAAGAAATAATTGTGCCAGTTTTCCAACATTTGTAAATAATGGCAATCACAGAAAGCATACACAAAATAAAGGTGTTTCAGTCTGCTCTACAAATCAGCATCTTCACAGCAGTGAAGTATTCCGGGTTCTTAAAAAACCCCAAACAACTAAAAAAAACCGCCCCACAAAATCCAAATGAAAACCCTTTAGTTAGGGAAGCTCTATTAAATATTACCCAAAGACAAGGGTAGTGTCTCAGCCTGTCACTGAAGTAAATCTGCCAGTGTTTCTTGCTGAGGGAACAGAGTCATTTTAATTTCAAATCTCTGGACAAAACCAGAAGGCAAATAAAACCAACTGTTCAAAATAAGTTCATGCAAGGCACAACAAACAAGTATGCTGAGGGAGAGTTTTCTCTGCCCACTGTCCAGGACCGGCCAACCCCTTAGCAAGGGAAAACACAGCAAGATATTAGGAAGCCAAGAACTTCACAGGGGAAGCTTACTGGGCAAGGGGAGGATGTCCAGCTTCTGGAGCTACACACTTTTTGTTATGGATAATAAAAAGCTGCTGGATACAATTAAGGATGTATAACATATACAGCCATAAAGGCATGGAAAGCCCTGTTTTAAGGTTGACAAAGGGCTGCCAGGTCATTTTTCATGTTTGTTGTGTCCCCACAAGTTTCCACTTAAAATCAAGCTACAGGCAGGACACTATACCAAAGATGCAACTCCACACTTTTCTTTTATAAGCACATTTTCCACAGTTCACCTTCAATGGTCTATATAACCAGGTGCAATTACTTGATATTGATATCAGGTCATGTTTGCCTCTCTTTCACCATTATCTTTGTTGTCATGCTTTCTCTCCCCCTTTTTTACTGTTGTTTGTTTGGCAGGAAAGTAGGAGAGGGAAAAGAATTGCTTGAATTTTGGCTCCAGGCCTCTGGTTTTCATACTTGATTCTGAAAACCACAACTCTGCACAAAAAAAAGCAAACAAACATTTTTTCCGAATTGCCTGTTCCAGTCCCTAGTATGTATTGTGCAAGTGTATTGCAAAATAATGCAAAAGACTACTCTAACTTGAGGGGTCAAGTCAACACATGTGGGATTATAAAGTATGCCTTTCATTTCCACACAGCAAACCAAAAATTTCCAAGGACTCCTTACACCAGGTTAGAAATTACAAATAAAAATTAACCAGAAGATTACTAGAACAGCTTCTGTGCAGATTTACATTTCTTTGTTACCCAAGGAAAAGCAGCTCTCTGCCTGCCTAGTTATCCATCAGAAGTGAACAAATAGGTATGATCTGACCTTTGTGCAGCCAAGTTGTCTGGAAAATTGCAAAATCTTTAATGACATTAAGGTAACATGATCTTTTAGAATACAGGATTATATAAAAGCCTTGCCAGAAAAATAAGAATAGCTATCCAGACTACCTGGAACAGGAAGTCCCAGGCATCCTGCAAGATGAAAGAGTTGAAGCAGATTTTTCTCTCAAAGTGTAAGGAAGAACAATTTTCTCAAGTTCCCACAACAGAGAACAATTAGGGCAAGAATACTGACACAAGATATATAAAGTTATCAAAAGCCAAACCTACAGATTTTGGGGAGCATATAACCTGAAGACATGATGTTCCACCAACAGACCAAGAGAGTGACCTTGAAGTCTGCTGGATAATAAATAAAATTCTGTGCTTTCTTAAAAATCAGGCAAAAGAGATTCCTATTGCAGAGACAGGCCATTTACAATTTATGCACGTAGTTATGGCACAAGACTTCATTATTGAAATAATTACTATTTGTTGTTTCCACCTTTGAAACCTTCATCTTCTTTCAACCAAACTGAAGTTTTTTCTTAAGCCAACCCTTACATTAAGCATTATACTTCTAAAGAGGAGTCTGGAGAAATCAATATGCATCAGGAAATTTTGCTGGTAATTTCCATTAAATATTACCTGTGTGCCATGTTAACAAGTTAATGCCATGTGAAAACATCATCATTCACTATCATGTGGATTGTGATCACCACAATATATGAAACAGAACTATGAGGCCCTAGATGGGTCCTGTGACAGCAAATGAGAAATTTTATTTACTTTAACTCCTGTGTAAAAAATGTAGACAACTTGAGTAAGGTTTTGAACCTACAATGTGCATAAAAGCACCTTACCCCATATAGCTTTTGAAGACACAAGCCAATGAGCTTCAAGTGGAAACAAAAATGTGCCTTTCATGACCACAACAAAAGCACATGAACTTTTACTCATATGCCAGGAAAAGGGGAAGATAACAGATTAGAGAACATCCTCCTGACATCCTCTTTCAGGTCCTGACCTTTGTTCTATTATGTCTTCACCACCTCAGGAAACTGAAAGCTGCTAATCGGGCTGGTCTCAGTCTCGGTCTAAGCTGCTTCAAAAACAAAACACTCCCGCCACACTCAATCTCCCTGACCCATTCCAAGATTTCTGTAAGGTCAGAAATTGGGAGTGTTTATTTAAGTCTCAACTCTCTATTCTTCCTTCACAATAACAACAAGTAATTCTAATTTTTTTTCCTTTCCTCAAGATCTATTTGCGTCTAAAAATTTTTCTGAAAATTTATTTTTGTGTCAGAAAAGAGTATCCATAGTGTATTTCTGCAATATCTTTCTTCACGTAACCACATCTGTCAGTTACCTACCTTGACATAAATCATAGGGAGTGTCTGTTTGGCCCGACTATAATGTCTGGCAACTCTGTATACTGTTTCAGGAACATAGTCCAGCACCAAGTTGAGGTACACCTCATCTTTCTGAAAGAGAATAAAGAAGAAAAACAAATCAGCACTAGAATTGAGGCAAGAAGTACAATCCAAGTGTTCAGAGAAACCTGAAAGATGAGAAAGCTGTGGATATTTTAAGTCCCATCTTTAATGAGTGAACTGCCATGGAACTTTTTATGTTTTGCAGTCATGCATTAATACTTTTGTCAAACTTATATTTAAGGTCATGTTAATTGTTCTGGTCTCCTATGTAAGATATTTTCTGATTATAAATGGAGACAAGGATATAACTGTTCTGCCCAGTCAATATTTTCATTAGGAGAGTATTTCAAGGTAACATCTGCATAATTAGTTAAAACAGCCTATTAACTCATTAGTCCCTTACCTGCCAAAACCCAAGAAGTGCAAATTTAAAAGCTCAAAACTCAGCCCCCAACAACACATCAAAAAAAAGTTCAAACAACCTTCATCTTTTGGAAATGTTACTTTGATCTTACTGAATTCCCAGCTATTAAGAGATTAATACATATTAACCATTTGTATACAGTAAGCCTGTGTTAACATTTGCAACCATTCTGTTTACAGGTATTTCTATGTCCCAGTTATCTCAAAGATATAAATTTATTCATGACAAAAGAGAACAAGCCAAAACCAAAGTCTCAAGTATAATTCTTCTAGGATTAAGTTAGAAGTTCATGTGAACATAACACACAGAAACAACAAAAGTAGCTTTATAATAAGGTACTTTGTTACATTATAAAGCACCTTATTATGCATTAGCAAAGGAAAGAAGGAACAAAGAGGACTTCAATGACAAAGTACCATAATCATATAGTGCCTAACTGCAAAACTGAGAATTTTCAGCAGTAAAACAGGTCTTAAAGATATTTCTGATATTTTAATGCAGTCTTAAGTGCAAATCCTGCCAGGATTGTGAATACATTTAATCTCGGGGAGTGGGTAAAATCAACTAATTCAGCATAAAAAATTATTTTGAAAGCTAGTGAATTAACTAGAAGCAACCTTCCCTGTGCCTGCTATTTTCTCACCTAGAACGTTCTATCGAGAAAGACAATACACAGACATTTTACATGGATGGAAACAGCACAGGCCTCCTGAGTCTTTGACTGGAGGCCCTTGTCAGAAGATCCACTGGCTATCTATATCTTAACACCTAAACCCAAACCTCATCTAGCTACAGCAATTTAACACTACTACTCTATTGTGACTTGTCCCATGACTTAAAGCCCAGAGTGAGGTGTGTTTCCCACAGTGCTCTGCTATCCTGCCACAGCAAAGAGCAGCAGCAGTCTGGCACATGGTAATACAGAGAAATACACACCTTGAATACATACGCAGAGAACTGCTGGCTTTGTGTGTTTTTAAAGGCTTAGAATTCAAGATCTCTGCTCACCCTCATTTGACAATAAAGGCTTGTATTTTCAGGACATTTTAGTAGCTCTTACCCATACCTCCTAACAGACCAAGTCACCTTGCATGGCCCTGCCTAAGTCATTCTTCCCTGCAAAAAAAAAAAAGGCTATTTTCTTAATATCATTGCTTAAATGTCAGCACCAAGCAATTGACAATGGCCCACCAACTTGTAACTATCTGGTCTAGTCATACTTCTCAAACACAGACAAAGAGCAGCCTTCAAGACCCTGTCTATGCTGGTGCTTCTCCCAGCGCCATCCCAGGAACTGGGAACAATGTGAAGGCTTCTGGGGACCAGTCTGGGAAGAAGAAAATTTTTGAAATGGATGAGAAAGGATAACTAGCAGCAGTGCAGAGGAAATACCAGACGGCTCTGGAACTCCACAGACGTGCAAATATATGCAAGGGGGAAAAAAACCAAACCCACTTGTATTTTAGCACTTTTCCTGCAGCAGGGAAAGTTCTTCTTTCCCTGACTCTCACTTCAAGCCAATAAAATTCATCCACTACCTCTTCTTAGGTCACAGCTTTCAAGATTTAGTTATAAAATACCAAAAATAAATGTCCTAAAAAATTCAAAGTTAGCTTATGCTGGTAAGGCAATCTGTAAACCATGAGAGAAAACAGACACATGAATATGAATGCTGTTTGCTTCAGTGTAGATACAACCTGATGAATATGCTAAATGTCTGCCTCTCTGAGGATGGGAAAGTCTTACTGGTGACAAATCACTTCACCGAGTACTGTTACTGAGGTTGGTGACTTTGATCCAAGGATTCATGTTTCATGTATCAAAAAGATTTACATGAGAGATTAGAGGAAAAAAAGAATAAAAACTAAATTACAGTGATTTTATAATCTTCTCATAATACAAACAAAAGGACGCATGTAAAACAGTAAAACATATGACCAGTAAACCCTGTCTATGCTCTTTCACAGCAGTGAGTTTTGAGAATTACAGAACTACTCTCTAGTTCATCTAATCTTTGCTTTGCTTTTAGTGCCTCCATTTTTATTTCTAATTTTACATGCTGTTAAAAATGGGACCAATTCAATAGCATAACACAAGCACAAAAAACCTTTAGGCATTTGCATCTTTAGAAATGGAAGCTTCACTTCTGAATGGCATGAGTTTTGATGCCATCCACAGTACCTGAACAAAGAGTGTGGGTTTTGTGTGGTGCTGCTCCTGTGTAAATGTGTATCACACAGAACACAAAGGCACATGAACACCTTTCCCCCTCCGCCCCCATCAACTATCAAGTTTTGATGTACCACGTGAGGGACCCAGAACTCCAACATGCACCTATAAAGGCAAGGCTTATGCCACTGGCCATGTAAGTAACGGCATATTCCACTCCTACCACACGAAACTGATTCCAGAGGTTCTCTTAATGACTGCTATAATGCATTAAAGACTATTCAAGAGTTTTTAGTGACATGCTCCTGATGGCATCTGGCACTGATCTGATAAATGTGCACGAGAGAGTTTTCACAAGCCCTGATCCTTCTCAGTAAGCATGAACTGGATGAAAATAATATCCAAGTTACCTGGATTCCACTGAACAAGATTCAGGACAAGCTAGGAAGCAGTCATGGCCTGACAAGCTCTGAGCATGATGTAACCTGGTTTGCCTACCTCATGCATTCCTCCTAAACACATATTTTTCCAGTGACCCAGATGTATTGCAATAGGAAACAGGGTTAGCTCAAAGAGCTTGCCAAATGAGGGCAACTGCTTGAGGATCACCTGGGACGATCAAGGCTTATCTTTCCATTACAGGGAATGTAATGATGTTCCATCACCACATATTCCACAAGTGACTTGTTTCCATGCTGCTGTTTCAAAACTGCAAGTCTGAGAACAAAACAAGTAACCTGACTGTCACAAGTGTGTCTGAAATTACCTACAGAGAACAGAAAAGACCAGAGGAAGCTGCAGCATACGAAATACAGAAAGCACACACAAGATGTCATTAAATAACTCACTTCTCCTTAAAGACCTTGGGCTTACTAGCTTTCTGTTGCAGGTCAAATGTTTATGTGTATTTGTATTCTCCTGTGCTTGCTGCTAAGGTTATGATAATGTACAGTTCAAAATAAAAAAAGGGAAGGGCAGAACGTCAGATCCTGGAACCCAGAATCCAAGTATTTCATTAGGATTTTTACTTCAGCAATGTGGCTCATGTACCAGCATCAAGTACTAGAAGCTGCTTTTTGTCACTTGGCAGATGAGTCCTCAGTTGACACACACTGTTCTAAAACAAGCTACAGCAAAATAATCACTGCTTTGCCATCAAACTGCTCTGCACCTCTCAAGAACCACCAATTCAGGCACTCCTTCACTTTGGTGGGAAATACTTAATGCAAGTAAATACTTACACAACCTGTACCATAATAAGAGACATGAGAAAGACTAGGACACAAGAGCCAAAACATTTTAGCAACTTCATTCTTTTTCTTGTGCCAGAAATTGGAGACAAAACAGGATGAAAGTACATGAGCATTACACACAATGTGGCTGAGGACTGAGTAAAATGGAAAACATTGCCTTACTGACAAAGGAAAGGCTGGAGGTGTCAAACTCCGTTTTAAAACTCTTGTCTCTTTCAGTCCACATAAGTAATCTGCTTAAAGCATCCTCCAGTTGTGCTTGAGGCTAATATAAAGAAATAGCTATTGAATTAAAATAAAGCAATGGCTATTGAATTCAAAGATTCACTTTTTTGTTCATTGCAGTGATAGTTAAAATATTGCTTCTCTGTGATCATCCCCTACCTCAACAAACCTCAAACTGATCCAAAGTGGTTCCTACAAACTTTGCTAGCTTTTGTTTTAATTTATCAGACACACTAGATTTACAACATGCACATATAAAGCAGCAACCAATGTTAAGTCAATCACAGTCCAACTGTTTCCCCTATTTACCACCATGATGATAAAAGCCAGGGAGGCCATATAAGCCAAACACCAAACTAACAGCAAAAGGAAAATTTTTACTCTGAAAATATGTTGGCATCTAATAAGATATTGGAAGTATTTCTGAACTGTCAAGGCCTATGTGGAATCTAAGGAAAACTTCCCTGAACATCAAGTAATAGGGTAAAAAGGTTAAGAAACTATTCTGGGTGCTCTTTCTTCTAGGGTGACTATATTTACTGCTCAGCATTTGGGAAAAGTGGTGAACATGCTCATTTGAGTTTTCATCTCCTGGCAAATCAGTAACAGAGTGACAGTGGTTCTGGTGTGGTTTGGGATGGGTTTTTTCTTGTTTTTGGTGGACTCCACCTGATCAGCTGTATGAACATAACTGAGAGGACATGAACAATACAGGAGTTTCTTAAGCTAAATTAGCATTAGGAGAAATAAATGTGGAATTGCACTTGAAGAAACTCACTTCAAATGTCTACTCAAGCTAAATGCACACAGACAAGCGATACACCTAAAATTAAGTAATGAGATTCCAAAATGTACTTCTCGTTATTAAAATTATCCTAAGGCTTCAGTATTAGGTCTGTCTGAGGTAATCAGTTTATCCAGGAGGATTTTTTATTTAGCGTATGACAGCAGCCCATTGATGAGGTTTCAGAAGCAGG